AGGAAATGTGAGGAACTCTTTCCTGTGTGGGGAGGGACCCGGAGGTGGCTCCCTTTAGTCACTGCAAAGGCACAGGCAGCTGTTGCTGGTGTCGTCTGATGAATACGTGTCATGGGAAGAAGAGATGGCTAATGTGGGTTTCTCAGGAGTGGGGAAGTTCTGCTTCATCCTGATGATTTGATCGACCTCCTGTCTTCCAGAGAACTAATGCTGTTGGATGTCAGTGATGACTGTACTATCCATGCCTAGATCAATGACAAGGGATGGAGGAGGGTGTTGGATGATGCAATCATGTGGGCAGCTTTAAGAGGTCACGTAGTAGAATAGATGTTTGAGATGAAGAAGGTTTCTGGACAGTGGAATACGCCCAATCAACTGGGCATGTTCTGTGGTTGTTCCCTCATTTCCCACGTAGATAACCGCAGTCAAGGTGAGATCCAGTGTGGTTGGGAGATCCTTCAGAGAAGCTGCTTCAGTGCTGTACCAGACCTTCCTCCCTTTCTTCAGTGCCATCATGAGACTAGTACTAGGGGTGTCTGGGTGGCTCAGTCATTAAGTGTCTGCCTTAGGCTCAGGTCATGAGCCCCTTGCTCAGTGGTGAGTTGATTTCTCTTTCTTCTCTGCCCATCACTACCCAGCAAAACAAGTAGCTCTCTCATTCTCTCAAATAAAATATATTTCTTAGAGATTTTATTTATATATTTGACAGAGAGAGAGAGAGATCACTAGTAGGCAGAGTGAGAAGGGAAAGGAGGCTTCCTGTTGAGCAGAGAGTCTGACATGGGACTCGATCCCACGACCCTGAAATCATGAGCCAAAGGCAGAAGCCCAACCCTCTGAGACTCCCGGACACCCCAGCAGTTGATATCAAATAGAGTTGCCTAGGGGCATCTGGGTGGCTCAGGGGGTTAAAGCCTCTGCCTTTGGCTCAGATCACGATCCCAGGGTCCTGAGATCAAGCCCAGCATGGGGCTTTCTGCTCAGCAGGGAGCCTGCTTCCCCCTCTCTCTGCCTACTGTGCCTGCTACTCTGCATACTTGTGATATCTCTCTCTCTCTGTCAAATAAATAAACAAAATCTTAAAAATAAACAAAAAGGCAAAAACACTTGCCTACCTGAAACAGACACATGAAAAAATGTTCATCATTATTAACCATCAGGGAGATTCAAATCAAAACCACTTTGGGATATCACCTTACACCAGTTAGAATAGCCAAAATTAACAAGACAGGAAACACCAAGTGTTGCAGAGGATGTGGAGAAAGGGGATCCCTCTTACACTCTTGGTGGGAATGCAAGTTGGTGCAGCCATGTTGGAAAACAGTGTGGAGATTCCTTGAGAAATTTAAAATAGAGCTTCCCTATGACCCTGCCTGCAGTTGCACTCTTGGGTATTTACCCCAAAGACACAGATGTAGTGAAAAGAAGGGCCATTTGGACCCCAGTGTTCATAGCAGCCATGGCCACAGTCACCAAAGTGCTCAAAGAGCCAAGATGCCCTTCAACACACAAATGGATAAAAAGGGTGTGGTCCATATACACTATGGAGTATGATGCCTCCATCAGAAAGGATGAATACCCAACTTTTGTATCAACATGGTCAGGACTGGAGGAGATTATGCTGAGTGAACTAAGTCAACCAGAGAGAGTCAATGATCATACGATTTCACTTATTTGTGGAGCATAAGGAATAACACGGAGGCCATTCGGTGATGTAGAGGAGAAGTGAGTTGGGGGAAATCGGAAAGGGAGATGAAACATGAGAGATTGTTGTTTGTGAGAAACAAATTGAGGGTTATGGGGAGGGTTATGGTTGGGTGAGCCTGGTGTTGGGTATTAAGGAAGGCACGCATTCCATGGAGCACAGGGTGTGGTGCATAAACAATGAATCTTGGAACACTGAAAAGATAAAATAAATTACGAAAAGAACAAAAAAAAGAGTTGACTACCTGGAGGGACAAACCATTCTTTGATAAATATTTAGTCTTTCCTTTCTCCTCTGAATATAAACCCCTCTGGGAAATTCTAAATCCTACCTCCTCCTCCTTAAATACCGTGACACAGAAGCCTCACCTACTATTTGAGCCTCATGTCTTTCTTGTTCCCATAATTAAGAACTTCATTGTTTTCTCTTGTGAAACTGCCTGACGACATTGAGAACACCTCAGGAAAAACAAACTTTTCTCTCTTCACATTCATTCTGTTGTGTGAACTGACCTCCAGGCTTCAGACCCAGAACAAAATGTGCAGACAGAGCTGGGGATCAAGGGCAGCTGGAGTTTCATTGTTTTGCTAGCCAAGGAGGCCTCAGGAGGTTGTGGCCTTCAATCCTGCAGCCCACCCAGAGGAAGGGGCCAAGGGTTTGCTGGGAGATGCTGGATAATGGCCAATTTCCAGAGGAATTTGTCTGTGCCGCCAGCCCTGTTCATCATGCTGTCAGGGTGGAACCAGGTTCCTGAAACAAAGGGCTGAGAAGTGAGAAGAGGTCTGTGGGGAAGAGAAAGGTTACTTATTGGAAATGGGAGTCTCACTGAAGCATTAATTATTTTTTTCTTTGTTCAACCTGATGCTTTCCAAGTGGTCTTCATTTCAGTCACCAAGACAACTGCTGTAAGAACGCTGCATACTTTACACTGAGAAAGCACTCGATGTCTTCTGGAATGGCTAAAAGAAAGAAAAAGGATAACATCCAATTTTCCTAAGAATGCTGAGAATTAGAATTCTCCTACATCGCCGATGGGAGGGTAAAAAGACCATGCAGTGTGGAAAACTGTGTGGCAGTGATGAGGGAGCAGGAGGCTGGCTGAGGACAAAGCAAAAGCTGGCACCTTGCAGCCCCTCTCCACCCGCTCCCCTCAGTAAAGTGTGTAACATTCCTCAGGCACCCCTGGCTGCCCTCAAAGGATAACAAATAGTTAACTTGCAGAGATCACAATCCTGCAAGATAGGAGTCTCCCTCAGTCTACAAATGTCCTAGAGATTTACAACAAAGCTATCTTATCAATAGCCCAATTTCCAGAGACAAATAACTCAGTTCCTCGAGCCCTAGTGTCACCTTCCCCTCCTTAAAAACTGAAGGAGGCTGAGGTAGAAGGAAATGTAAATAAAGTTAAATTTCTTCTAAACCTGAATCTCACTAACAAGGACACTTGATAGGAGAACTGTGAAACATTTTCTCTAAACCTCCAAGATAGTGTCAGCAATCATTTCCAAGCATATGACCCACGGATATACATCTAAAGGGTCTCAAGAGAAGATTTTTTACTAGTAATAAATAACCTTTCTCCCAACAATAGCTAGTCCCCCAAGGTCCTGGAGACCTTGCTTCCAAAATTCCTTAGAGACTAACATCATCCCCTTTGTCCTCACCTACCCAACTCCTGTGTATATAATCAGCCACTCCTCAGGATAGCAGGGCAGCATCTCTGTGTGCCCACGGGTCCTGTCCCTGTGCTTTAATAAACCACCTTTTTGCACCAGAGACGTCTTAAGAATTCTTTCTTAGCCGTCGGCTCTGGACCTCACCCCACCCAACCTCACCTAGGTTCTAGAACTTCATCAGCAGGTCCTTATGAACAGAAACACCTACTGAAGGGGAATATTTTGACACCAAAATATGTCTCCTTGGCCTGAGCATTATTTTCGGCGGGTTATTTTGAATGAAAGGCAGATAAAGGAAGAGCTCTCAAATCCTGTATTTACTTTCAAACAGACATTTGCATTTAAACGGGAAAGTTTGGTCTGTCTGGTGTCTCCCTATGTGTAGCAGAAACAGAGAGAAGGTGTCAGTCTCCCAAAACTGATGGTGGAGAAGGCAGGGCTCGAGCTTTGCTCCCAGCACCAGCCTTGGTTCCCCTACTTGGCCTGGTCACCTCCCCAGTTCCTTCCCAGCAGGGTCACCTGTGGAGTATGTCGCGGCCAGCGCATCAAATCCACCAGGAACGTGAGTGTAAGAGGGTGAAGAAAAGAACTCAAGAAGCAGAGAGATGGGGGCAGGAGGAGCACTGAGGAGGATGTCCAACAGTGCTAAGTTTATTCAAAGCATTAAGGCCATATATATAGTGATATTACAATAGGAGAAGCAATACATCTGTGTCTAGTGAAACAACCATGAGTTCCCATAATAAGTTTCACACTTAACTATAAGCAGACCTCGTGACACCAAATGGCTGATGCCAGTACAAGTGTTCTGCATTGATACAGCAAACCTGAAAGTAATTTATGGGCTGTACTAGGGCAGCAAGGACCAGCCATGAACTTATGACCCCAACTGAATTGTTCTCAATTGCTTAGCAAGCGTGTGGGAAGTCACGTAGGCGAGCGCACAACACATAGCACAGACCCTTTCTCGGTGCTACTCAACTTTTCCCGTCCTAAACCTTTTGTTAGGTTATTCGGACTTTAAAGGAGGCACAAGTCAGGGCCTGGTTTGGTCCTCGTCTCAAGCCTTATTGTGGCCTCCCACAGGAGTTTCAGAAAGGATCTTCTCTGCGGGCCTCCCCCCCAGATTCTGTCAGTTGGTTTGGGGGGAAACAACACTGTTGTGTTAATTAAGGCTCCAGGAGATTCTCAGCGAGGTCAAGGGGGAGTCCGCGGGCTTTCGGTGGTTTTCTGAGAGTGGATTTCTGGCTTTGGTCGTGGAGAGGGGACAGGGTCTCTGCTCCGTGAGTCTGGGAGGGTCGGGTCCCTGCAGCCCGCAGTTCTGATCCTGACAGTGAAGTTGTGAGTGGTGGTGGCAGGGGACCCCTCCCTCCCCACAAAGCAGGTGAAGAAAATGCAAGGATGGGTGTCCTCACGGGAGCTCACAGTTTCTGAGCTGCTCAGGACACAAAGGACTGAAAGTTGGGCCTTTTCTGCATCTCCGAGTCCAGCCCACGGGCGAGCGGTGTGAGGACAAGGAGGTCTGCTGCTGGATTTCAGGGCATTTTCTCCTGATGCAGCTGTGATTCCCCCCAGATCCCTCGTGAGGACGAAATCTAGAGGTGGAGGCGAAGGCACAAATGGCCGGTTCTCAGGTGAGCCTGGTGTCCCCGCGGAGCCGTGTCCTCTGTTTCTCCGCAGACCCTCGCGTTTAGAGCTGCAGATGCAAATGCCTCCAGTGCGGGTGCGTCTCGCTTCTGCGTTCACCTGTTTTTAAGATCTGGTCAGAAGTGATACTCACGGTTAGGTCTTTAGAATGCTTCTCCATGTCCCAGAGCCTTCTGTCCTGTCCCCAACCTGGCTTCGATAGGGCATCAGCCGTTGTCACTTTGAATTAAAGTCCCGCGAGGAGTGACAATATTCCGTTGGTGGCAGATCCGGAGGGGAAGGTGTCCAGTCCGAGATTCCCGTGGCTGATGAGGTCTGGTCCTGGGATGTCAGGGAGGGAAATCATTTCTCATTCAGGCTCATCTGGATTCTCGATCAGCTGTGTGCAGCCGGGGAATAAGGAAATGCAGACAGAAGCTCGGTGGGTATGAGTCCAGAAAAATTTGGGAAGTTCTCATTCTAAGAAAGGGGCTGTGTGTGTCTCCATCTTTAGCATGTGAGAGATATTCTACTTAAAGTCCACTAGAGGAGGGTGCATGGGGGTCTTCGTTGACTAAGCTTGTACTGTTGGTTGAGCTCAGGTCGGGATCTCAGTGTCCTGGACTGGTATCCCCTCTTCTGGCTCTGTGCCCAGAGGGGGGTCCGCTTGACATTCTCCATGCCAGTCTCCATCTCCTCTAAAGTATAAATCAATCTTGGGGACCGAGCATGGTTCAGTTGGTTAAGAGTCTGCTTTCTGCCTCCAGCTCAGGTCGTGATCCCGGGGACCTGAGATCCAGCCCCGAATCGGGCTCCCAGGTGGACAGGGATCCTGCTTCTCCCTCTTCCTCTCCTGTTCTGCCTGCATGTGCTCTCTCACTTGCTCTCTTCGAAATAAATACACTTTGTAAAGAATTTTATTTATTTGTAAGAAAAAGAGTGAGAGCACAAGTAGGGTGTGCTATGGGCAAAGGGAGAAGACTCCCCGCTGAGCAAGGACACCCTCCCACCCCCAGCAATGTAGGAGGTGTTCCCAGGACCTTGTGTCTTGGACTGAGCAGAAGGCTGAAGTCCACTGACTGAGCCACTCAGGTGTCCCTATAAATAGAACCTTTAAAGAGGATGAAAATAAAAATAAATCTTAAAAATTAAAAGAAAAGAAAGGCATAAACGAGGTATTACTAGCACAGGGACGCTGTGCCATCTCATTGCAGTGTCTGTCAGTGGCTTGGGGGCCTAGATGTGGGATGGGTCCATGATTGGCTGGAAGCCCATCAGTAGTGCTGCTGGAATTCCCCTGAGGCAGGACAAAGGCAGTGGAAGTTTACTGAAAACCTAAGAGTTCAGCAGGCAGGAGGGCACAGGAGAGCTTGTCTCTCAAGGGGTGGGGAGGCGGTTCTTAAAAGGGGAAGGAAGGTGAGGAATTCTGGGGAAGCAGGAACTTGCTCCTTTCTGCTCAATGTACCTGGTTGTCAGAAGCCCATTGGTTCCTTAGAGTCTTGGTAAGTTTGAGGTGTGTCTCCTGATGGCCCTGTCTGGACTCAGCCAAGGGGACACTGGGACCCTTCCTCTACTCCTTTGCTCAAGCCTGCTTGCCTAAAAGCAGTCCCTACAGACGGGATGGTGTTTGAATTGTGTATGTATGTCAACTATATTTGCATAATTAGATTTACATTCTGAATTCCTGCTTTCAGTCTACAGGAAAACACCAGTGATGGTGTGTCCTTTGATGTGCATTAGGCACTGAAAGCAATTTGTTTCCATTCAGCTGATGGGAACTTCTTTTATTGGCTTGGTGCTGTCTGCCAGATCCTCCCCTGTCATGTTCCTGTTTTCCCTCCTGTCATTTGTGAGGAACATAAGATACTGAGGAATATGCAGGGACTATCACATTTCAGGTGTCAACTTCTTCCTTCTGCATTTCTCTTGCTTGTAGGTTCGTTCTTTCTCTTTCCTTCCTTCCTTTTTTCCATCCTTCTTTCCTTCTTTTAAACGTTTTCTCAGCTGAGAGAGAGAGTGCATGAGAGTGAGGAAAGGGAAAGAAGGAGAAGCAGATTCCTCCCCTGAGTGGGGAGCTCAACTCAGGGCTCCATCCCAGGAGTCTGGGACCATGACCTGAGCTCAAGGCAGACCCTTAATCCACTGAACTATCTGGGCCCCCCTTGTTTGTAGTTTCTGAGGAGGAGAACAAAGCCAAAGAGGTGTGGATAAAATTAAATGTCCTTCAACTTCCAGTCTGTTGACAAATACTTGAGAAAGGCAGAGTAGGACATTCCTCAGGGAACTCACAACTTTCTCAAGGTTAATGTGTTATTGGATGCAAAAACTAGCCTTAGCCTAACAATAGACCTCCAGGATCCTGTAACTCCTCTTTAACAGATGAAACTTGCTTTGGAAACTTATTGAACTCTACCCCCAAATGTAGTTTGGCCACCCTCCTTCAAGCTTGTGGCCCCTGATAGATATCTGGAGGGTCTCCCCAGTAAAGTGTTTCTATACAGTGAGTGGTCTCATCAAAACACCAGCTGGGAGGCCCTGAGGGTCCTAGAAACTTGCCTCCAAATTCCTTAGAACCTCCTGCTATCCCTCACCCCTTCCCCACCTGAAAGCATAGAACCAGTCACTGCTCACGTTCCTCTCCCCTTGCTTTAGGACCACAGTGTTTGTACCACGGGTATCTCAACAATCCTTTCTCCATCATTCACTCCAGATCCCCAGTACTTCCACATCAAAACATGTCTAGAGTTTCTTGACCTTTGGCTTCTCTCCCACATCCCAACACTTTGCACTGGACAAGGAGGGATGTGACCTCTGTAGTGGATAGAGTTGACTTCTGGGAGTGAAAGGAGTGAAAGTTCTCAACCAGGCAGCCCCCTGCCCCATAGGTTTTTCTTTAACTCCACACCCATCTCAGGGAGAAGGAAAGGTCAGATCTGGTTCTAGCTGGTGACATTAAGTCCCACTTTCATCTTAGGAAACATCGTGAACTGTGTCAAAGGCCACTTGGTGACTGTGGTATTTATTATAGGGACTGTTGACCTTCAGGGATGTGGCTGTAGAATTTTCTGAGGAGGAGTGGGGATGCCTGACCTACACTCAGCGGCAACTGTACCTGGATGTGATGTTGGAGAACTACGGACACCTCCTCTTCTTGGGTGAGGAAGACTCCTTCCAGATTTCCCAAAGCCCACTGAGGGTTTTATTCCTTCCTGTGAAGACTGTCTTTTCTGGTATTTCTCTTGGAATGACTAGAATTCAGATCCAGGCAGAAAGGGAAATAAGTAGGGCTTTGTAGATGGAGAGAAAAATCTTCATGGTGTTTAATTCTCAGCCTTAGCTTCTCCTTCCTCAAGCAAACATTGTTGCTTGTGTAAATGAGTGGAAGTTCTCAACCTTTAGTGACATAAATGATGCTGCTCACATCTTAAACTGAAATTTCCCCTTCTTATTATCATGTCTACCACTTGGAAGTGTAGGTCAGGATGTGAACTTTGGAAATTCCTCCTGTGTGTTCTTTTTTTGTTGTTTGTTTTCTTTTTTGAAGACTTTATTTACTTATTTTACAGAGAAAGATGACAAGTAGGCAGAGAGGCAGGCAGAGAGAGGAGGGAAACAGGCTCCCCACCAAGCAGAGAGCTTGATGTGGGGCTCGATCATAGGACCCTGAGATCATGATCTAAGCCAAAGCCTGAGGCCTATCCCCCTGAGCCACCCAGGTGCCCCACATCCTGTGTGTTCTATAGGGACTGTTGGGGAACCCTTTTGGGAAACCATTTTCTAGGATTGTACAATATCTCTTCTCTCCTGAATGCAAGACTCATGGAAAGTTAAAATTGTCAGCAATAGCCATTTTCCTTTTTCCTCATAAACAGGTCTCACTGTGTCAAAGCCAGACCTGATCATGTTTTTGGAGCAAGAGAAGCAGCTCTGGGATGTGAAGAGAAAGGAGATGGGAGGCTTCCATCCAGGTAGGTGGGAATGAATGAGGCAGATGACAGAGGGGAGGTCCAAGTCAGAAGCAGGAAGGTAGACCTTAAGCAGTGGTTTGAGTAGCTCTCCTTGAATGAAAATCAGTTGGAGACTTGCCTAGTTTTAGGTCTCTCTCTTTCCAAGAGGAACGTCTGCTCTCCAACATTATGAAGCTCTTGCATTCTCTGGGGATTCTCCTTCAGGTGCAATGATGGTCCATCACGTTCATAGGGAGAGCCAGGAGACTCTCCTTCAAGGGGGAGGGTCCCCCCAATCTGAGAGCTTTCTATTGTTGTGAGGCCCCTGGGGAAGTCATCCTATTTCTGAGGACCTGTACACTATAGCCTTTGTCAATTCTGGTTTTCATTATGGGACAAGTAGGTCAGGGTAGTTGTATGCACATTGGGGTTTGTTGGGGAAATTCCTGGAATACTGGAGATAGATTTTTAATGTTCTCTGGCTTATACTTTTTAATGTTACAGAGGAGTTAATCTTAGTCTTACAAAATTGAGTTTCGGTAACTTTATCAGATAACAAAGCACTGCCCTAAAATGAGAAAATGTACTGCTTTATTTCCCTTCAAATAGTCTTTTTTCTTTTTCTTCCTTTCTTTCTTTCTTTTTTTTTTTTTTAACATATAGAAATTTCTGCTCTATGAGTTCCATTCCTCAGTGGTGAAATACTGTAATGTCTCTATTTGTTTACTAGAATTCTGACATAACAAATGCTACTGGGGAACTAGCATGTTTCCATCTTGAACTTGTAGCCTTTAATAAATTGTCATGTATTACCTTATTTTTTAATAATTGCATCATTGTATGATTCTTCTATGAACTTCTGGTAACTCTGTCATGTGTGTTTTCACTTTCTAATTAGTTTTATATGAGATTTATTTTTGAATACTTTCACGTCAAATGTCCTGATACGACATGGGCATGTGCTTTATAAGAAGTGAGTCGACAATTAATAATATTCCCATATAGTTTGTTTAAAATTTTTATTTGTTCGAGACAGAGAGAGAGAGGGAGAAAATGAGTATGGAGGAGAAGGGCAAAAGGAGAGGGAGATGGAAAGTCCCTGCTGAGCGGGGAGCCCAGTGTGGGGCTGGATCCCAGAACCCTGAGATCATGACCTGAACGGAAGGAAGATGCTTGACTGACTGAGCCCCCAGGTACCCTAAACCTCCATGTTTGAAAAATCCTTGTGTTCAGTAATGCAGTGTTACTTCATGGGAAATTCATCATGAGCTTTTTCTTCTACTTTCCTCAGAATGCATCAGAATTTAGCCCCAAATATTAATTTCATATACAGAGTCTCTCCACATATTTTCAACATCTATGATGTTTATTCAGAAAGGAAGATGTTGTTTGTTTCCTCTGTCATAACAGAATGGACTATAGGTTACATTCTGTGGAGGAGAACGAATATATTAATAACAATACACGTCTTTCAAGCTTTTTAAGTGTTCACAAAATTTTCATTTACAGCTCTTTATGATTAATTTTAATGAGAATTCTTTACGATATTAGAGTCCATGAAGACATGCCAATCAATTGCTTGTTTTTCATGGGTATGTGGACCCAGTTCAAAATTATGGTAATATAGAAGTTTCCCTTTTCTGTCATACATCAGTGTTTTATATTGAATTTCGTGGATTGAGTTTTCTCTTATTCTGGTTTGGTAATTTCCTAAGCATGTGCTTCCTTGTCTGTCTCATTCCACGACATTAGTTAGGTGTAGGTTGGGTGTTATCTGTGCAGATTTTTAGAGGAAGGGAATTTTCAGCTCAGTATATTTCAGCATATTTCAAGACCATGTGAGGATAACTCAAAAAAGAATGAGCTTTATCCTTTTTGCCGATAAATTATGTGTGTTTTTGTCTTGTGTTTGTATGTCGCACATATATACTGTGTCACACCTACTTTTGGCTCCTTGGTGAGTGGTCAGTGAATGTTGTACCATGTCTAGGTGAGTTGTCATCCACATAGAATTAATTTCATCTGGTATTTGTGGGTGAATTTTTATTCTATGCATGACAGAAGGACTTTTTTGAATTCAGAGTAATTTTCAAACATTTTATACTTCTGTATACTTCTGTATCTACTTCTGTTTTGGTATGAAATACAAAGGATATAATTTAATTAATTGTAGGATTAATACTCATGATATGTCTTGGTACCTTTGTCATTGAGTTATGTGTCTTCTATGAGTATTTCCGTTGTGGTTACTTTAGAGATTCATTAAAACAACTTAGCTGTAAGTGCACCTTTTAATTTTTTTTTTTTTAAGATTTTATTTATCTGTTTGACAGAGAGATCACAAGTAGGCAGAGAGGTAAGTGGGGAGAGAGGGGGAAGCAGGCTCCCCGCTGAGCAGAGTCCCAGGTGCATCTGGATCCCAGGACCCTATAGGCAGAGTCTCAACTGACTGAGCCACCCAGGCGCCCCTAAAACAAACCTTTTAAAACTCAGTGTCAATTATATAGAAAACTCTTCTTCCTGTCTCCACCCCTGCACACACTCCTGACTTTGTTAATGACATCACAAATTCTTTAATGTTGAATCCTTTATTACCCACATTTGTGATTTTATTCTTTTTTTTTTTTCTTCAAAACAAAACTCTGTAGCAGAAATAAATGTGACTGGTATCTCATTGCAACACAGAGCACGTTTGTGTAATTGTCTACATATTTATGTTCAGCAGAGAGCTCTGTTCTCCTGTGGTTGCAGTTTCTGGGTAGAATCCTTTTATTTCATCTAGAAAGACTTCCTTTAATGGTTCTTGTAGGACAGATCTACTGGTAATCTTAGAGGGGTTTTTACTTGGGAATGTCTTCGTTTCTGCTCTGTGGAAAAGAATTTTGCTAGGTAAGGTATTGTTGGTGGCTATTTTTCAATCTTTGGGTATCTGAGTACGTTATGTCGGGCCCCTTGCTGTTCAGACTGCTGAGAATCCTCCTAGTGATTTTCTAGGAGCTCTTGCACAAGATGAAGTGGATTTGCCATTGTGTTTCTTTTTAGATTTATTTATTTGTTTGTTTATTCATTTATTTATTTATTTGACAGAAAGAGGTCACAAGTAGGTGAAGAGGCAGGTAGAGAGGGGGAAGCAGGCTCCCTGCTGAGCAGAGAGCTGGATAGGGGGCTGAGATCATGACCTGAGCCGAAAGCAGGGGCTTAACCCACTGAGCCACCCAGGTGCCCCTGTCATTGTGTTTCAAAGGTCTCTCTTCATCTGTGGTGTTTGATGGGTTAATTACAACATGTTGTGAGTCGTCCCATTCTTTGTATGTGGTCTGCTGTATATACCATAGTTTTATAAGGAAGTAATTTGAAGAAATTAAATATGAAGGCAATCATAATGAAAAGACATTTACTGTAGTGCACTGGATTTATATCAAGCAAACTTCTCTGTGTCTAAGTGGACCATTACTGATGAAAAGCACATTATGCAATGGTTAACTGTGTTTGTTAGTAGACCTGAAAGGATTCAGGGGCAGATGGATCTCTAGAGAGGCACAATTATTTTCAGTGTGATTCATTTTTCTTTTGACTGTATTTTGTACATGTAGATGGGTGTCCAAAGAAAGCCAGAGTAGCAGAAGTTTCATCAGATAAACTAGCCTTTTATCTTTGTTTATACTGCTTTGATATCAGGGTACTGCTGACCTCACAGAATGGTTTTGAGTGTATTTCTCTATTTCAAAATTATAAGATTTTTTTTATTTCTAAGATTTTGATAAGGATTGTTGGGAATGATTTTGGTAAATGTTAGTTTCTTTCTCTTGTCCTGAACCATGGCTCACCATCTAATGCCTACGGGTTCTACCTAACGATTGGTAATTGAACAAAGTCACTACACATTTAATGATAAGCCATAGCTACACAATCCCAAGGACTATCGATCAAATTTTACCCTGTATGTTTCTCCTGTTGTTCTGTGAGCATAGAGAACACAAGCAGAGATTTAGGGGGTTGATCTGCACAGAATGCAATGTGTCGTATTAAGCTAAAGACAGATTTTGCAGTCCCAGATCTAACTAGGAAGAAGCACATGTACATACATATGTGTGTACCTGTATCTTCAGAAGGAAAGTGAAACTTGGTTCAAACCAAGTCATTTCCAAGTTTGAGCATTGATGATTTCCTAGCAAGCAAAGAGATTTTAGATTCATAATAGAAATAGTTTTCTTCTCTGTATTTTATTGAATTTATGCTTCTTACATCTGGTGTATCTTAGTTTGAGAATCTTCCTATGCAAATCGTCTCTTACATAACTGGGTTTTACTCCTGTAGGATCTACTCTGTTTTCCTTATTCCTGTGTCGACCTGTTCCTTACCTACATTGATAGAGATTTTAACAAGAATTTCCATGGAATGACATGGTCTTCAAAATTTAATTTAAATGTGAGAGTAATTCTCCAGGGCGCATTATAAATTCCACATACTTAAATTGAGACTTCAGTCCTTCCTTTGCGTTTGGAGAAGTAAGAGTTCCTTAGTTGTTCTTCTTTTCCCTTCTAGGAAGTGACGTCATCCATGTTGGTCACTTCAGTGTCAGCATTTGAGTAGGTAAAAATGTGGAGACTTCTTGAGTCATAGTATATGTTTTTGTTTTTGTTTAATAGTTCCTTGAAGTAAACAAAGAGGGGACAGGGCTGGGTGCTGAGTAGATGTTTTAACTTAAACAGAACACAGTGTTCTGTTAGGAGTGATGGAGCAGCCCAACAAGAGATGAAAGAGATCTAGGCTGAAACATTGGCCTGGATTCTTCATCTGGGGAGAAGACCCCTGTCCAAGGCTACACTACTAACTCTGACTCTAGAAAGAAAAATTGTACTTCCTTTCTTCCCAAATCCTGTCTTCTTCTGTCTCATCTCTATTTCAGGGGTAGAGGCATCACAGCTGACTTTCCCTCCTGTGTTCTGGAAACCTCATTGTCACTGCACTCCCCCTCCCACCTAAGCCATGCAGGCCCTTGCCTAGCCTTACGAGTAGCTTGGAGTTTTCTAAGGCCACTGTAAATGGTTGATAACAGGATCACGTGAGGCTATATGTCTGTTTTAAATACAATGTTGTCACCACTAAACTGGAATAAAAGCAAAAAACCATCACTAGGCCACAGGATTAGTTTAGGCAC